TCATTAAAATTAATAAAATAAAATTTAAAAAAAAAAGAATTAAATGTGGAAGGGGGAGTCAGGAAAAAGTCACGCGAGTGTGGCCACGGAGGAGAAAGTTTAGCGTGAGGTGAGTAGGCCTCAACTCTCCTTTGCCAGCTTTGAAGACAGAGGGATAGGCCCTGGGCCTGGTACGCAGCGGCCCCCAGATGTGAGGGGGGCCAAGGAAATGACCTGTCCCAGAGCCTGCGGGAAGGCCGGGAAGGTGGCAGTCCTGCGGTGGTGCGACAGTCCCATCAGGCATCTACCCCGCAGCATGTGGCCAGCTGAGCAGCTCTGTTTGTGGTGTCTGTCACGGGGGACTGATATGGAGATGGCCACCCAGAGGACCAAGTGCAGGTGTGAGAAGTTAATTGGATGAATGGCAAACTCCTTGATTTGCTTAAATTATTTTTTTAATAAACTTTCTTCTTAAAAAGCAAAACCAAACCCCTATTTAAAACCACTCAAAGAAAAAAGAAAACCAACCCACTACTAAATGAGTGCAGAGTAAAGGAAGTGAGGTGCATGAAGTCCCTCTTAAGAGCAGGTATTTTCTCCTACACTGTAGGGTGCATACCTAACTGCTCCCCACCCCTCACCTCCTAGCAGCTACATCTCTAGAAGACAGCCCCTGGGGGCTACAGCAGGCCAGGGCCCTGAGGGCAAGGCTCCATGGGGGGCTGTCCTGGGTCTCTGCACTCTGACATGTTGTGTGAGGTCAAGAGAATGGAACTCTGGGATTCCAGCCTGGGTCCTGATCCTGGTCTACCATCAAGCGAACCTGAACAAGTGCCTCCCTCAGTCCCACCCAGACAGGAAAAGCCAGTGCCCACCTGTGGAGGTCACCTGCCCAAGGTGTCACTATCCTTGACTCAGAGCAGGGTGGAGGGTGGGGGGTGTTCTTAAAAGGCCAGCCAGGCAGGCAGACAGTGTAGCTCTGGGCGTCTTTCTGAGGCTGAGGTCAGGAGGTGGGAAGGGCTCACGAGAAGGGGATTCTAGAAGGCTCTCTCAACTACCCTTCCAAGCGGCTGAGGTGCCCAGACACCAGCTGGGAACCAAGCTGGATAGAGAACTGTTCAGCTCCTCTCACCCCATAGGTGCGTGTTAAGCTCCCCTTCAGAGGAAGCACTAAAGCCCCAGACCCTACAACTGCTTCCCCGTGTGGTGGCAGACCCCAGTTCCGTAAACGAGGCACCCACCCAGCCCAGATGCCAGGCTAGGGCTCCCTCCTGCTGCCTGCCGCCTTCCCCACTGAGCTCTGAACTTCTGCTGCCTCCCCCTGGGCCTGACTCAACTCCTCTTCTCTGGAACCTTCCACCTCTCGGCCATCTGCTCTCTACTTCCAGACGACTCATCCTCATTCTACCTCCTGCTCTCCAATTCCCCCACCTCCCCCTGACCCCCACAACCTAACAGGACACAAAGGGGCCCCTGGGCCAGAAGCCTGCGTTCCAGACACAGCCCTGCCCTCTCCCTCCTGCTCAGCCTCCCCATCTGCAAGCAGAGGAGCAGAGCAGAGCTTTTCAAACTTCATGTCAGCGGCAGAAAGTCTTTACCAAATGGAAGTGAGCGTAGGTTCTAACAATAAAACGGCCAAAGAAGGAGCTGCTGGGATTACAGGTGTGAGTGAGCGCAGACCCTGCAAGACAGCCTCCCTGGGGTTTCTAAAAGTCCCACGGGGCAGTGTAAAGTCTCCGACGTGGAGTCTGCCTACCTGGAGATGCCCCGTCCAACTCCTTCCTTCCTCACTTCAGTGTCCAGGGGACCCCCAGTTCAGCCCTCTACCTCCACTCCCCTTGCCTTTGGTGCCCCCTCAGCTGAACTGAGGCTGACATAGCAGCTGAGGCTGACACAGCAACCTCTCAGCCCCCAGATGGCCTCCTGCCCCCCGCACAGCAGCCCCAACCTCAGGGTCCTTGTGTGTCCCCTTCTGCCTCCCCACAGTCTGGTGACACGTTCCTCCCTCCAGACACCCTCCCACACCCCTCCTCTGGCCATCGTACCAGGTCTATGAAGGAGAATGTCATGACCAAGAGAGCTCAACCAGGGATGGACCTTGGATGGCCCCCCACCTCCGCCCCAGAACCCAGCACAGTCCCCCAGGAAGCCCTCCTGAGCAGTCACCAGCCGCCCTGGATTCTCTCCAACCCTCTTCCAGTCCAAGGCCTGGAGTCCCAGCATGCATTTCTTCCTCAGGCTACACTGTACTGATTGGAAATAGCAGGGGATCAAATTTTCAGGGATTCGGTGCACTGGTTATTAAGCAAAGTCATTATTAAAATTACGCATATAAACTTGCAATTAAGTCCATTATCTAAAAAAACAAAGGTAACAGTCAAAACTCGTCACTTCCTGATCATTTCACTAGCATTTATTATCCGTGCTCTTGAGGGTACTTCCACCTAGCAGATCTGAACGATGAAGGAAACACTGTTAAGGCGTGTAAATCTCGTCCCAAATCCACGTTCATGGGCTTCGCGGCGGGAGCATGACATCAGCCACAGTGGACGTTTTTACACCGTGGAAATGGGTAAATGTTACAACTCAAGGCTTGATTTCTTGTATATTGTTGAGACTTAGGTAAGGGATAAAAAAAGGCAAATAATACACATTATACTTAAAGCTGGTCATGCCTGTAACAGTTCCATCGTAAAGAAGACAAGAAATTGAGAAATGTCTTCAACATTCTCAGTAGAAAACGATCCAACTGGGCAGAGGAGTCGCTTGAGATTCTGACTGAGTCAAGTTCTGATTTAGGACTTCTGGTCTCACTCGTGAAAAGAAATGAAAATGTCTACCAACACTTACATTAGAACTCTCCTCAGCCACCAGTTGGTTTCTGGGGTGTGAGTCCAGGTAACAAGAGTTTGGTAAAAATCAATGAAAGCACTCTTAAAGGATTCATTCTCTATATGGAATTTGCAATGACAAGCATTAAAATGCATTTTCACTTGTAAGTTATGTACTGAAATCCCATATAGATAAAAAATAATTTATGACACACTGAGACACACACATACACACACTCTCCCTCTTTCTGGAGAGCCGGTTGGTAACCACTTGCCACACACCACTGACTTAAGGCTAACACCTAGGCCAGGGCTCCTCAACCTTGGCACCACTGACAGTATCTGGGCAGGCAATTCTCTGCTGATCAAGGCTCACCTGAGCATGGCGGGTATTTATCTACGCAATGTCAAAAGCACTCCCTTACATTCTCTTTAGACACGGCCAAATGTCTCCAGATGAGCCAAACTGCCTCGGTTGAGAACCACTGTCCTAGGCAGACCACATGCCCCCAAGGGCCATGGGAGGCTCCTATGTCCCCTAGACCACCCTATGTGAGGCCATCCATCCTCTTCTGGACTCCCACGTCCCCAGGATGGTGCAGGGGAACAGGAGGAATTCACCAAGCACAGTATCACACAGGGGCTCACACGTGGGGTCTGCAGCTGGCAGATCTGAGCTCAAAGTCCACCTCTAACACCTGCAGGCTGGATGACCTTGGGCAAGTCAAGTGACCCCTCACAGCTCAGTGGCCTGGTTTGTCAGAGGGGCACAGGGATCACGCCCACTGAGACTGATTTTTATCACTGTGGGGAAATGAAACGAGACGGTACACGTGTCAAATGCCTCGCCCCGGCGGGACGCGTAGGAAATGCTCCTATAATGTTAGCTGGTCTTTGTTGACACAGCGACCAGGCGCCTGTCCCCATCATCCAAAGCAGTACCTCAGCCTCACCTGAGAGATGTACCCAGGGGGGATGTGGCCATCCTCCTGGGACTTGGGTGCATCGGGAGCAGTCTCCCCTCGGAGTCGACAAGCCTCCAGCTGGGCACGAAGACATTGGACCTGCCAGGAGAAGAGGGGAGGTCACTGAGGCTGAGAAGGGGAGTGGAGACACAGGAAAATGGGCCTCTCAGCCGTTTCCTGGACATGGCTGGGAGCAGGGCACCGTGGTCACATGACAGGGGTGGCAGGGACAACATCTCTGCGCCTCAGTTTCCCCAGAAATGGAACTGTAGTAAGGCCCACTCTTAGAGGACTGCTGAGGACTGTGTGGGCTGACGCATATAGAGAGAACCTAGGTCCTGCATCTGCTGAGAGCAGAACCATGATATAAACACCCAGGGTCCACGCAGGGAGGAAGATCCCAACTCGGAAAGAGGCTGAGGTGCCAGACTGAAGCAGAAGTGAGCCCCCATCATTGTAGGCTTGCCAAATGCATGTCACAATGCTAACTCAAGGACTGGAGGGAGGTTAGCGGGTACAGGAGCCCCCAGAAAGGCCAGCTGTGGCGCCTACCTCCTTCTCCAGAGCTTCGTGGTGGTCGGTGGAAGGCCCCTTGCGCTCACCACGGCTGTGGTTGAGTAGAGCGGCCAGTGGCACCCGCTTGTCCTCCCGCAGGGGCAGTTTCTCCAGCTCCTGCCACTTCTTCTCGATCTCCTCGCTGAGCCGGCTCTGCTGGTCCTCGGTCAGCGGGGCGCCCAGGCCTCGGCGAGGCCCCTCGCCAGCCGGCGTCTCCGCAGCCCTGCTGTCCGTGGCCTCGAACCACTTGCGCCGTTCCTCGGAGCGCTGGGCCAGGTCCCGCTCCAGCTCCTCCTGCTTGGCCGCGCGGTCTGAGGTGCGGGCCGAAGGGCGGGCCCGCTGCGGGAAGCCCTGGGTCAGGGGTGACAGCTCCACATAGTCCTGCCGCTGCCCGTCGGCCTTCCGCGAGCTGCTCCGGGTGATGATCTCGGAGCCCGGCCGCTGCTCTCCCGCCTTCAGTGAGCCCTTGTGGGAGCCATGGGCGTGCAGCGCGTTCTCCTTATTGCAGTCCGACAGCCTAGGGCACCAGCAGACCCACAGTGAGTGTCTCCGGGGTGTCACCAGGCCCCAGGCCAGGGCCTGGGAGCAGATACCAGCGCAAGAAGTCGCCCAAATCTGAAGTCCAACACTCGAGTATCCTTGTTAACAGACCCTGGTAACTATCCCAGCTCTAGCACTCATCAGCAGAGGGTCCATGACACACAGCTCCCTGCTCTGGGCCTCAGTTACCACATCTGAAATATGCAGCAATTACTCCTACAGCACAGACATGAAGAACAGCTAAGTGAGGGCAGGAGCTGCCAGGAGCCGAGAGGCTGACACTGCAGAGGTCAATGCCACGTCAGTCTTACTTCTTATTAAAAGCAAGATTTGCTCTTTAAAAGTGAGGCAAGGGAAACACACAGGGACACTACTGAGGAGGAGAAAATATCAGTTGGGGGACGCAGAGAGCACAGACTTTCAACAACCTTGAGCAGGTAGAGACAGCACCTCCATGTGTCCTTTCCAGGGATGTGTGGCTACATGACTGAGTTCCACCCCACGGGGTGTGAGAGGGAGTGTGCCCACTTCTGGCTGAGACCCCATGCGGGCCTGGACCTTGGCCCAGTGCTGAGACCCCATGCGAGCCTGGACAATCGCGCTGGCCCAGGGCCGGTCACAGAGGCGCCCTAGCAGGTCTGAAGTGCACGCTTCTGGACTGTTCCAAAGAGAACTGTCCTGTTTGAGGTACTGTGCTTGGGGGGCTTTGTTATAGCAGTGGAGCCTCTCAAACCCAAGGCACTGCCACTGAGTCGGTTCCAACTCACAGCACCCTTCATCGGGTCTCTGAGGTGAAAACACAACGGGTGGAGACTATGCATCTTTCTCCTGAAGAGCTGGTGGTCGAGCTGAGCCACCGGAGCTGAGTAACCTGTGGTTTAGCGGTGCAATTGGCAGTGGACGATACCACACCACCCGAGCCTGCAGTTGTGAGACGATTCATGTGCTCACTGCTAACCAAATGGCCGATAGCTCGCTCAAAGGCCTCTAGGAAGAAGGGCCTGGCAATCTAAAACACTTCTTAAAGGACCAACCATCTGAAAACTCTGCAGAACCCGGTTCCACCCGGCCACACACAGGGTCTCCAGGAATCAGAAGGGACGTGATGGCACCCGTTTGCTTTGGTTTTCAAAGCATCCAGCTGCCTGTGTTATGTATAAAAGTTCTTCAAACACATCCTCCTGGTAAGCAGACACAACACTCCCACAGATGAGAAATCTGAAACTCAGACAGGAGAGTCATGGAGCAGAGGCTGGACGGACAGCCAGGGTGGAGCCTGGCAGGGGGCCGAGCTCAGCCCCCTTCAAGCCCATGCTCTGTGCCCAGCAGACACGAGCCCAAGGCCACCGTGCGTGAGTATATTCTGTACCAGGCGGGGGCTCAGCCACCAGGTCGCTCACCCCTGCTGTGCCCTCCACCATCCATGGTAGCCTCCCAGGGAGTGGGCTCCCTGCGCTCAGAGAGACACGGGCAGAGGTGAACCCCTCCTCACTCTCTCAGGATGTGGGAGGTCAGATTTCAAACCGCCTGTGGATTTCTGGACGACTGCGAAGAATGCTGAGCATCTTTCACCCATCTTACTGACAGAGAAACTGAGGCCCAGAAGACAGTCACGGGGCCCACAAGTGGGCACCCAGACCCCACTCAGAGATGGAGGGAAAACAGCGGTCCCTGGCACGTACTTGGTAACATCTGGGGCTGAAGTTGGCCGCACAGTCTTCCTCAGAGCTTCAATCCAGTTCCGTCGGATGCCCGAGGTCATGGCTGACAAGGTGTAGACGGCGTCTTTGGTCTGTAAGGCCAGCCCGTGAGTGACTACCATGTGGCCCATCACTCCCTTACCCCCTCTCGCCAGGAGTGTGTCAGCTATGGTCCTGGGCCTGGAGCTGAGCAGAGGATGCTACACCCCACCTTCCAGACCAGATGGAAGAGGTGGCCCAAATGCAGTGCTGCTGGTTCTAATAGGATGGCTGGCCATCCGTGCCCAGGGCATCCTAGCCATGCTAAATGTGGGCACCAGGGTTCCTGACAATGAGTGACAGGAACCACACTCTGGTGGCCGGCCACCTTCATCACCTCCTCCAGGGACCCTCAGCAGGCGGCCCAGACCCCCCAAGCCCCACCCAAGGCCTCACGTGGATCTGGAAGCCATAGTTGCGCTGCACCGCGTACTCCGTGACGTCAGTGCAGGAGCGCAGGTCAATCTCACCGTCCAGCTCATCCGCCTGGGGGTGGGAGGTCAAGGCTGTTCACACAGGAGGTCCCCTCTGCCGACCCCACCCCTTCCTGAAGGCCAGTGGCGCCTGGCAGGGAAAGGGGTCCCCAGCAGCTGCCTCACCTCCTCAGCGGTGGAGTCCCTGTAATACTTGAGGCTCGAATCCGTCAGCACAAACCAGTGCTTCTTCCACTGTGGAGAGAGGTGGTGGTGAGCGAGCGCAGGGAGGCTGTGGGGGGTGGAGGGGGGATGGTGGTGTGTGTCCCCATGTAATTCTACAATCGTCCTGGTCTGGGCAGTCCATCACTCAGCTCAGTCGGGGCCCAGTACCCTCATCAGTCCATGGCTGGGTGGGTGGATGCAGCTCAGAATGCAGATTTGGGAGCCTGGCCACTCCACTTCCTAGTTGCCCAACCTGAGGCCAAGGCAGCCACTCCAGGTCAGCATCTGTGAAATGGGCTCACTTCTCTTCTGAACTGCTGACACTCCCACCCCCATCCAGAGCCTTCCACCATGATTCTCGAGAAGCTGACACGTGAAGCCCATCTCCGTGCAGACCAGGGAGGGACAGTAAGGATCTGAGCATGTCAGGGCCCAAGTGAGACCAGAGCTTTGCATGTCCATGTGTCCTGCGATGACCTCTGTGGACCAATGCCCCCAGAGTAGGACTGGAAGGGGCTGGGGCTGGGGAGGTGTCTGAACACTACTTCTCCATCTGGGCATTGCTGGTTTCCACGCAGGCTCAAGCCATGGGAATGCCCTGGCCTGTACTTCTGTGTATATGCACTGCATTCTGATGTGGTGGTGCACGTGTACTCACACACACAGACACATGCAGAGATACACATGTGCGCACACACATGAGGCCTCCAGAGGGCACCAGGTTGAGGACATCAGGGAATGAAACCCATGAGGCCTCGATCCCTGGGCTGATCTGATCCCTCTCAGCAGGGCCTCAGCGCTCCAGCCCAGGTTCAGGAGGGCAGAGGATGTTTGCGGGGTTGGGGGATGAAGAACTACCCGCTGCTAAGTGTGCCAAGCTCAGCCCGCCTCTGCGCCTCAAGTCATTCTATCAGAATGCCAGCCAGGCCCCTCCTCTGCCACGCGGCCTCCAGTCCCACGGTCTCCAGTCCCCAGAGCTTCGTAGGCACCACCAAGCCCTGCCTACACAGGCTGCTGTTTCACTGTCGCCTTTCCTCAACAAGTCATGTTTTCAAGGATGGGCGAGGACAAACTCTATGTCTTCCTGTGTCGCCTCCCCTAAGGACCAGGGATGTGGCATCTAGAACTGGGGAACAAGATGCTTTATCCCTTGCCAGCCGTGTAGCTTTCAGTAAGTGTCTTGACCTCTCTGCGCGTCTGCCTTCTGATGTGCAGAGAGGGCGACTAAGAAGGACTCCAGTTTTTTTGAGAGATGAGAAGTACCTAACCTTCCTCATATGCCTCTCCTGGCGCAGATTCAGAGCCACCTCACCCCAGGTGGCCCTCCATCGAGGGCAGGTCCTGGATCAATGCACTTTTTTTGTGTTCCCCGGCTGCATCTCTGACTTCTGTGGGGCTCAAGGCCTGAGCTTCGAGGCCTGGGACACTCAAAGCTGCAGGCCATCTCCTGCCTTTGTACTGAGGGGCTGGGCTGGCTCAACACCCCCTTCCAGCTCGGACATTCCAAAAGGCTGTGACAGCAGATGAGTAATGGTCAGCACTGGGTGGAGCCCGAGAGCCCTCTGCCCTCCGGGGACCCTGGGTGGGGAGGCTGGGAGAGGGTCGCTGGCAGGGCACCAGGCCTTGTGTGAGCCTGGCAAGCCGCCACCAGAGCTGGGCAGGCGGGCGGCAGGCAGGCGGGCATGGAGGAACCGAACGTGGGTAGGAAACACAATGAGGTTCCCGCTGGCACTGTGCCCTTCCCGGCATGCGGGCTGCACGCAGACCCAGCGCCCCAGGCACATACAGGGCAGGGCCGGGCAGTCTCCCCGTTCAGGCTAGGAGGGCAAGCGGCCAGCACTGGCCCCAGCTCCTGAGCTCCAGCCAGGCAGCTGAAAGGGCAGAGCTGGTGAAACGGCCACTTTCCTCTCTGCTCTTCAGGACACACAAGTTACAAGAATCGCTGCCCGAGTCCCTCCAAGGCCCCAGAACCCTCTACATGACTCTCACCCACCCTGGAAGGAGCCAGTACTATCCCTTATTCCTTACTATTCCATTTCACAGATGTGGCCACTGATGTAAAGAGGGTTTGTGGTGAGAACCTATGCCCTACGTCCATCCAGCTGGGCAGCTCCCTGGCTGGGTCTCTGGGAGCCTATTGAGGGCCAGAGAGGTTGGGCAGCTGGGGGAGACCCAGGGAGGATGAAAGCCTGAAGGGACAAAGAGTGCAGGCCCAGGAAATTGGCTCTCCTAGCAAAGCATCATGGGAGGGGCCCCGGCTGGGTGGGCAAAGCCCATTTCCTCTGCCCCATGACCTCCTGTGGCCTTGTGATGTTACAGATCACTGAGCTGGAAACAACCCACAGCTGACCCTCTAGAGGGTTTTCAGGGGCAGTAAATCACATGGGAGGAGACTGCCCATCCTTTTCCCGCAGAACAGCTGGTGGATTTGAACCTCATGCCTTTGGGATTGCAGCCAACTCCAAGTGTCTCCCCGTGCCCTGCCCCATGACCTCCTGTGGCCTTGGCTTCTTTAAATTGTGAGACCAACCCAGATGACCTCTGTGAGCCACTGATCCTAGACCCTCAATGCCAAGTCAAGGAGTGGGGCCCACGGGCTCTGGGTGAGAAGGCGAAGGCAGGAAGAAAGGAACAGGAGGCCTCCGCCCTGTGCAGTAGGGGTACTAAGACTGTCTCCCTCCCTTCAGCTTCTGAAGCCCAAGGCCTTCTCCCCACTCAACAGAGACATGTTCCATCTCCAGTGGCCCCCACCTCGCCTCTGAGGTCCCCAGATGCCAGGGTCCCCGGAAGGCAGGACAGGCCCCTTCAGGATAGTCACACCCAGCCAACCCCCGCCTCCTCCCTCGGTGGCCCACCTACCTCTCCAGGCTCGTCCAAGATGGACATCCATCCCTTCTTGAAGTTGAGCAGATCGGGCTGTGGGGAGAGGAGACTGATGGGTCAGATCTGGGGTGGGGCGCTGAGATGGGCAGTGGGGCAGCCTGCACCCTTTCTACACCACCCCCAAGGGTCCTGGGAGCCAGCGGGAGGCTGAGGGCCCTGGACTCCCAGCTGCAGGTGGTCCCCTTGCCCACCAAGGCGGCCTCAGCCCCTGGGCCTCCTGTTCAACATTCTCAGAGTCACGGTGGCTGGGGAACTGCAGATGTCCCTGCACCCTCCCACCAGCTTGCTTCCTCCCCCAGGAATAGACAGAGCTTACAGACACCCCACCCCAGCGCCGAGTGTGTCCCTGACAAGGCCCAGGGAGGTGCCTGAAGTCCTCTGCCCACCCCCATCCCGTAATAGTCCTGTGGTCCCGGCAGGGCTTCCTGACCATCCCTCCTCTTCTGGGGACCCTGAAGGTGCCTGCCCACCCCTATCCTGCAATCCTCCTGTGGTCTCGCACCCCACCCTGCCCCTCCTCTCCTGGGGACCCTGAGGGCAGGGCCAATCCCAGGCTGGGCCCAGTCTCTTGAGTCCTCTCTAGCTTTCTGGGAGGGCCAGGCGATGGACATCAATCCTGGTAAACCCTACCTGCCTGGTGCTGCCCAGGGGGAGGCGGCCCCGGGACCTGGGAGCTCCCAGCTTCAGCATACTCCACTGAGCTCAGGAGCACACCTCCAAACACCCCCAAAGTCAGGGCTGGTCAGGGACCCTAGGTGAAGGTGCTGCTCATCCCAGCATCTCCCCGGCCCTGCCCATCTAGACGTGCCAGCCACCAGACCCTCCCTGCCCCCTGGGGGGTGTCTCTCTCTTTGGTACTGGTCCCTCTGTGGAGTCTGGGCGCCTGGCCGCTGGCAGGGAGCGGAGCAGGCAGGCCAGGCCGGCGACAGTGAAGAGGCAGCCACCTGTTGCTATGGCTTTGAGCCCACCTATCAGCGCCTGCATCGCAGCCTCCCCAGGCCAAGGTGTCTGGTTGCGGGAGGCTGGTGGCAGTGGCTTGTGGGATGGGTGGTACAGCAGCAGCTGGAAACCAGAGCCACCTGACCTGGCCACCTACCCTGGCCCGCCCTCCACCCAGGAGTCCCACTCCCCTCCGCCTCCTCAGGTGGAGGAAGGAGTCACCAACAGCCACACTCCCTGGATGAATCTCAGCAAGCAAAGCCCACCTGCCCGGCTGCATCCCACCCACTCCCTGCACACCTGACGGGGGAGACACAGGCTCTATTCCGAGCTGTCCCCTGGGACAGTGCTCCAGTCCTGTCCTGCCCCGTCCACCTCCCACCAGGAGTGACCCACCCGAGGTGGTCTCAAGCTACAAATGCAGACCAGCAACCACAGTCAGGGCTACTGTCCAGACCCTGATCACCTGGGCCACCTCCCTCCAGACTGTGAGCTCGAGAAGTCCCAGGCTCAGGCACAGGCCTGGTCGTTACCTCACCCCTAGGTCTCCGCGGAGCCAGGTAGGCTACCCCTGGAAGGCCCCCAGTTGGGGAGATGGCTGGTCTCCCAAGAGCATTGTGGGAAATGGCTTCATGGATCTAAACCACCAGGGCTCCGGCTGCTTGATGTGTACACGGTGGGGGTCAGCTTCCAGCCTCCCCAGGACTGATGTTTACATGGTGGGGGCTGCTGCCAGCCTCCCCAAGATTGGTGTGTAAATAGTAGGGGCTGCTCCCAGCCTCCCCAAGATTGATGTGTACATGGTGGGGGTCAGCTCCCAGCCTCCCCAGGACTGATGTGTACGTGTGGGGGTCAGCTCTCGGTCTCCCCAGGATTAAACACTGCCCGCAGAGAGGCCGGGACAATCCAGGGTTGAGAGTAGAGCAGCTGCCTCTGCAGTCCTATAACTTAATGGCAGGGACACCGCCCTGGGGACCTGGGAAAGCAGCACCCTGGATCAGAAAGTCTGACAACAGAATGTCCCCAGATCCGGCGCTCCTCTACTTCCTTCCACCTGTAGTTTATCCTGTTTTCTGTCAGGAGCACCTACTCAGTGGCTCTCACAGCCTTGGCCACCAGTCAGCACTGACACCCGCCTGGCCCATGGATGCAGCCTCCTCAAATGAGTTTAGATGCAGCCCACGTACACTTTGACCACGGGACCCTCTAAGAAAGACCCAGAGCTTTGTACACGGCTGGTTAAGTCTCCTAGAGAGCCCCATGCCTTCTGGACAGTGTACAGTTCATGGGACCACACAAGAGCCTCAACCTGCTTCCAATCTAGCCCCTTCTTACTTGGAAGATCCCATGTTTACATCACCCTAAACTTTTCTCTGGTCCCTGGACCTTCGGGCCCTTCACTCACGCAGGTGCTCTCAGCCTGAAATACTAGGTTTCTTCTTCTGATGACCAAACTCCTACTCATGCCTTAACTCCCAGCTTAACTGTGGCCTCTGAGGCCTATTCCCAGCACACACCACCCACACTCTGCTCCCAGCTGTGCCCTCCTACACACTTCGAAGGGTCTCTATTACATCCCTGATTATGTTGATGCCAGCGTGTCATCAAGAAATCCCTAGAAGGTAAAGTCGGGGGTCAGAAGATCGACTAACATGTTTGCCACGATACAGAGCCAACGTGAGTGGACACGTGAGTGATTGTAGGTTCGGGCAACGTTTCCTTCTGTTAAATAAGGCTCTTAAGATTTGGTGCCTACGAGACAGCACCACTCAAAGTCAGAGACACAGTGTTCATCATCCCTGGACCCCAATCTGGCACGGACAAGGGGTTCAGGATTCTGCACGGAAATACTTTTAAAAGCATCTGGCACAGGTCAACACTGGGGACTCAGCAGTGAACAGAGCCAGGGCCTCCATCCTGGTGGAACGAAGGGAGAGGCAGATGATCAACAAGTGAACAAGCGTATTCTATGATGCTCGGTGGTGGCTTGGAAGGCTCCAGGAGACAAAGCTGTGCCAGGACTGAACATAAGAGGAGAGAACACCATGACCCCAAACCCAGAGCCCTGCCTAAGAAGCTACCCAGGCATAGCACCTTTGTTCCATAGAGATCCCCAAGCCCAAGAGATAAGGGGCAGGGTCCCAGGACCAGGTGATAGGGAAAGGGTGTGAGGAAGGCAACGGAGGGAGAGTTGTTGGTGGTACAAGCAGTTAATCACTTGACTACTAACCAGAAGGTTGGTTGTTTGATGCTGACCCACTCCTCCTTGCTCTAAAACCTCTCAAGGCTCCCTCTTGCTACTGACCAAATCCCAAGCACTTCCTCCGTGACCCAGGATGCTTCTCTACTTCCCAGGAAGCTCTTCTAGGCAGTCTCCTGACACAACCACCAGTGTTTGTTCACACAGCTCTCCCTGGTGATGGGTGAAAGACACCTCCCCCAAGAAGCCCCCTCTCTCCAGCAGGCATGACTGCCCCTCCTCCAGCACCACCCCTAGAAGCCACTTCCAGCAGCCTCCTCCTTGCTCAAAATGTGCTGATCCTGGAGAGGCAACAGTGTGTACACTTCTTATCTCTCCAGGGAGTGAAAGCTGGACCAGACTTGGATACAAAATCTGGCTCAGCCAAGGCCCAGCTGTGTGACCCAGGACATGCTACTTCACCTCTCCACACCTCAGTTTCCTCTTCCGTTAGAAGGGGGCAGGTAGCACCGGAGAACCTCATCTGGCGAAAAGAGCCTGGCAGGCACCCAATGGTCGGGGCAATCACCCTCCCCCAGAGCAGGGAGCCCACAGATGCCAGGGCATGACTGACTCAGCTCCTGCCCCCACCCTCCCTGCCAGAAAGTCCGCTGATGACAGGAAGGGCTCACCGGGAGGGAGCAGGATGTGTGGAGGCCGAGGAAGTCCAGGCAGCATCAGGTCATCCCAATCACGGGGTCAGGGGCCCTGGGTGCCACACCCCCTAGGAGTCCAGCCCACTCAGCACACCATTCATTTGAGAAGGGGTTACAAACATACATATTGTACACCTTGGTCATCTTCCTCCAGGAAGGCCACCAGGCTTTCAGTACTGCTAAGCCACTAGCCTGACATCAAAAACAACCCCGCTCCTCCCGTCTAAGTACATGACTGATCCCCAAATGAAAGGGGCTACTCTTCCCTCGTCATTAAACTCAAAGTGACCAGTAAGTGATCAACTCACTCCATGCCTGTTTGTCTCACTAGGAAATAGGGACAAGAGTGACTTAAGTTGTGAGGTTCAAAAAGGCACAGGTACTGATGGAGCTTGGGCACCGCGCATTCCCAAGAGAAAACAAATTCCTCCCACCGAGTCCCTGGGAAGCAGCCCGCCTCCCCAGCACACGCCATCCCCCCACCCCACCCAGGCGCTGCAGAGTGGCCAGCACGGAGGGCACAGTATCCACCACTTCAGTGGTCCGAGAATGGGCTCCTGGGCGGGGGGCAGCCCCTCCTCTCCACCCCACCCATAGAGCGGGTGGGCTGTCTCCCCAGGCTCAGGTCAGCGTGACCAGGGAGCGCCCCACCCAGCCACAGGCGAGAGTCCAGCCACATCAGGCCCAACCACCGGCCAGGACCCCGTGGAGCCCCTAAGCCTGGCAGTCTCGGGGGAAATCCCAGAAGGGCCACCCCAGATCCATCCAGAACTGGACCCAGCAAAAGTGAGGCAGGCTGCCCCGGACTGTCCTCTCCTCTCCTCGGGGTGGCCAGGCTGCTGGTGCCCGGGCAGCTAGAGGAAGAGGTTACGGGAGGTGAAGCAGGTCTGCTCGACCTCAGGCTTCGGGGTCACCCCGAGTTCCGGCCGAGATCTACCCCTGACTCCGGAAAGTGGGGAGGGGACTGTCTCGGTCCAGCCCCGGGTCCACGGTCTCCAGTTCGAGCCGGGGGCGCGGAGGGACTCTCCCCGGGGGGCACTCACCGTCATGGCGGCGCCCCTGGGCGGCGGCCAGAGGCAGGAAGGTGAAGGGGCTCTCGGGCCGGGCTCAGCGGCGCGGGAATCCCGCTGCCGCCGCCGCTCCTCCGGCCCTGCCCTTCCCCGGCACTGCCCCGGCCCCTTCCATCCGCCCAGAAAACTTTTTTTTTTTTTTTTCAAACTTCCTGGGAGGACCCGGGCCAGCCAATGGGCGGCGGGGAAGCCGGGACAAACAGCAGCGGGGGCCGCAGCAGGGCCAATGGGAGGGCGCAGAGGGCCAGGGGCGTGGCCCAGAGGGGGCGGTCCCTGTGGATGGGGCGGGGCCAGCGGCAGGGTAGGGGGCGGGCTCTGGCGGGCTGGGCGCGCAGGGAGGAAGGAAGGGCCGGCGCGCAGGTGACTCCGTCCGGCCGGTGCGGGGTGGGGGCGGCCGGGCCGGGCGTGGCCTGCGGCTGCCCCAGGATCGCTCCCCGCTTCATACCGACGGGCCGGTGGGTCCACAGGTGCGCACGGACCTGGGCAAACCCCTGGTTCATTGGATTCCTCTCGTAGAGTTCCTCTTGCTACCTGCGCAGTCGAATTGCGTCCTCATCGCAGACCCGAGAGGGAGGTCCCCTTGTCCCGTTTTAGTAGTGAAAACAGAAGTTTAGACAGATGTGGCCATTTGTCCAGGGCCACACTGTAAGAAGAGATGGGATCGCTAACACATAAGCCGCTCACAAAGTGAGGTCAGCTTGAGTGGTGGCCAGAGTCCCTTCCAACCCTTGGTGTCTAGAGAACTCCTTCATGGCTGTGATCTTTCAGGAACAGGTCGCAGGCCTTGCTTACAAGGCACTCTCGGGTGGGTTTGAACTGCCAGCCTTTTACTTGTGTGCTATCGAGTCGGAACCGACCCATAGCTGACCCTCAAGAAGGTTTTCAGAGGCAGTAAAGCCACACGGGAGATTACCCATCCTCTCCAGCACAGCAGCTGGTAGATTTGAACCATGTGCCTTTGGGATTACAGCTCAGCTTCTTAACCACTAAGCCATCAGAGCTTCTCGTATTCAAATAGTTGGGGTACTTGGGAATAACAGAGATTGTTCCGATCCCTTTACAGAGGAAGTGACGGTTGTGAGAGACTGGATTATCTAGGTCCCACAACCCTCAAATCCGTCATTAAATTCATGTGGATTCAAATCACACAGTGATTCAAAAGCTGCCGCTTTCACTTAATCCATCTGTGCCTCAACTTCCTCTTCTGTATGATGGGATAATGATAATCCTGTTACCTGATGGGGTTGCTGTGAGGAGTAGGTGTTAATTCAAGTCCACACTCACATATACACATATACAACCCTCTTTATCCCTAATTAGCTGAGTGGGAGGGCAAAGGAGAGGCTTGGGATAATTGCCATTTTTGTTATTCTGTCATCTCAATTTGACCCAAAAGTCATGGCTAATGTAACTATAATTATTGTCCCCAATTGACAGATGAAGAAATGGAGGCCCAGAAAACTGAAGTTCTTTCTCTGCATTCCCTTCCAGGAGTCACCCCACTACCTTGAGGAACAAGGCCAAGGACAGCCCTCATCCTTTAGACATTGGCTTCCTGGCACCTCGTGCTAAGTTTCCCAACCTTCTCCTCAGGCAAGTCTTTCTGGGAGGGAGTGGACAGAGTTCCTCACCTGCTGCCACCGTGCAGCCCAGTGGCCGGGCCCCTGACAGCATCTGCCACCTCTCTGGTGTCTCTCCCTGGGACTCTCCTGCTCGCACCCTCAGCCAGGGACCTGACTACCCTGCTCAGGGCCCTTCACTAAACCAATGCTAATCCATCACCTGCCATTTTGTCCACCATAATTTGACCTCCAGGCTGCCTGTCCTCTGACACACGCATTTTACAGGGAAAGGGAAGCCCAATGTGGATGACCCGGAAGTCCCCAATAAGCCAGATCCACATGCTGTTCTCGGTCCTGTCTGGAAAACTTCCCTTCCGGCACGCGCGCTCGCACTGCACACACACACACACACACACACACACACACACACACACAGACACACTCACACACACTCTCTCTCTCTCTCCTTACCTCCCTCATTCCCTCCCTTCTCCTCCCCTTTCTCCAAATATTTGTTTCCCTGGAAAATTCCTCCTCAGCTTCAAGTCCCCGTCCAAAGGAAGCCGAAGTGCCCCCAGCATACTTAGTAGCTTCTTGAGTAATGCTCCCTGCCATCTGACCCTTTGGCTCTCTGTATCTGTTCATTTCCCCTCTAAAGTGATGACTGTGCTCTGCTCTAGTCCTGTCCAAGTTCACCCTCAAGGTATGAGTTCCTGTGTTGCAGGGATGGAGCATTTTTTGTCTGTATATCTGAGGCCAGCTCAAGCCTCGGGTCCATATAGGTCCTGGCCCATACAGTGGGTCCTTGGAGCATGGTTGAAGAAATGAATGTACAAATGAAAGAATGACTCCTTAGCCACAGCCAGCCCTGCACAACAGAGAAGGTACTGCCTCAAAGGACCCAGGAGTAAATTATTAAACTAGCAAAGCCCAGAGCCAATAAACTTTGGGATTAGCCAGTCTCAAGGTGTGACCAGCAAGACTGTGAGGCTTCCTGGCTCCTGGGATCAGGCTAATTGTACACCCCAGCCTATAGGAGTTCCAATCTTCAGTCCCTAATTGTCCTCATTTCCATATGAAAGTTGCTGTAGCCTCAGTTGCCACATCTGTCTAATGGGAGGTTCTCAGAGTGCAGGGAGGGCTTCAGAGAGCTCAGGGTGCTGGCACACCAAAGGCCCCCAGCTCTGAGATCAGCCAGGGCAACAGTCAAATCTCAGCTGTGCCCCTTCTCCCCTCTGTGACCTAGAACACGGAACGAGTGACTTTTCCTCTCTGAGCTTCATTTCCTCCTCAGGGAAAGGGGCCTGGTGGTGATAATTAAAGGCAATGGGACGTGCATGGAATGGGTACACAGTAAGTGGTCAATAAGTGCTGCTGACTGACACTACGGTCCTGGTTCCTGAATCCTTTCTCCCACTTTCCTTCCACCCAGGGACTTACCTGCCCCCTCTTGCCAGACCTGCTTCATTGTGGTGAACTTTAGTTGGTCTGATAAGGTAATTCCAGCTCTAGGCCTTCCAGGTCCCACCCTGCCCTGATAACCCTGTTTGATCACTCTTGGCATGCCTTAAACTTCTGGAAGAATAAGGAAATTACGAGGCAAATGGTGATGTTCCAGTTTGGAGCAGCTCTTTTGAGCATCCTTCTCTCATTCGCCGGCCCCCTTACACCCCAGCCATGTGTCCTCAGACAAGGCATCTCACCTCCCTGTGTCTTATCTGTAAAATGGGTATACTGTCTGTCCCTAATGGGCTGAGCCTACTGCTGAACCCAGAGACAACCACACTCAGTCAAGAGGGGGCCTATCACTGAGAGATGAGACTGGCCCCCCAAGAGTCAGCCTGTGGCCCCTGGAGAGGGCGAGGCTGGGAGGCCACTCTCAGTATGTGATGAGGGTGTGAGGGGGCGAGTCGCAGCTGCCACCCCTCCCCACCGGAGAGGAAAGCCAGGCCCAGAGGCCCGAGTGTTTACCACACTCTGGGCAGGCAACAGTTACGTAACGCCAGATGTTTATGAGACTGGCTCAGGCCCAGGTCTGAGACATGCTTTGCAGTCCCAGTGCCCCTCACAGCTCCTCCCCCGTGGGGCTGGTGGTTGCCCAAGATCTCCACGCCCCCTCATCCCCAACTTCACGGTCAAAGTGGGAAGCCCCTCTCTCGAGGGGCCTTAGGAGCTCAGCTTTCATCTCCCTTTTCCGAAGGCACCCCCAATCCCTCTTCTCAACCTCCCGCCCAGGCTCCCTCCTCTACCTAACTCCAGCCCCTTCCCTTCCTTCCCCTGCTCTACCCCCTTGACCCTCGTGTCCCCCTGGAGCCAGCCTACCCTTTGCCAACTGAGGACCCCCAAAGACAGCAGGTACGGATTGAACAGCGTGGGCCGGTCCCCGGGCATCCGCCATGAGGTCACCAGTCGGCCCTTGAGTGGGCTCCCAGCCTTGCCCTCTGCTGGCCTCTTGTCTGCCTGTTAAACAGGGTCCAGTGTTGGCCCCCAGGTGCCTTTGTTGAGGTAGAGGCGTCCCTGAGGCAGCCTCCCCGGCCCATTTTGCCCTGCCCTGCCCTGCCCTGCCCTGCCCTGCCCTGCCCTGTCCTGCCCAGCACATGGGCTGGACTCTTTCCTCTCCTCCTGCTGTCAAGAGCTCCTTAGCTCACACAGCCCTGGGCTGGCCAGCAGGGCTCAAGCTTAAGCCCTGGGGGCTGTGCTCCACCCTACAGTTAAAACACAATCATGGGGGGTGGGGTAAGGGTGGACAACTGGGCTGTGTTTGGGGCTTGCAGATGGTTCAAAATTGGGCTGGAATAGTTAAAGATCTAAAGCTCTAACGTGCAGATACAGATTTGCGGTCACTCTGGGACTATCTAAGGCATGGGCACTGTGAGCCCGTCTCCCGCTGGCAGCCAAGGGCTCATACAGGAACCCCTTAGCCCTGACTTTCTCATCTGCCTTCCTCGCTGTCCTCTGCCACGGCCTGGCCTAGAGGCCACTAGATCTGTGGCCTCAGCTTAAGTCGCAGACCACCTAGAACTCTCCATGGCAGAACCAAAAATGCACCCCTTCTTGGAGACACCCAGGGAGAAACTAAAGCCAAGTCACACAGCAGGTTGAGGGGAGACAGGAATCCAGAGATTATGCGGAGGCAACGTGGAAGCCTGTAGCACAGGGCGGGGAGGGCGTTGGGGGAGAGTGACATCACATCCCCTACTTCAGGCCTGACCACCCAGTGTGTAACCGTCCCCCCAGGCTGGGCTCCATGGCAGCACTCAACTTGCCCCTGACCCACAGCCAGGCACACAGAGCTGGACGCTACAGCACATGGGTGTGAACAAAGAAATGAGCGGGGCAGTTGTCATCTGTGTGCAGGGGTCACCTGGGAGGAGGGTTGCCGTGTTGCTGTGTTGCACAGGCCCGTTTCTGTGCAAACCAGAGGGGACCCCTGGTTTCCTCTTTGTACACAAACCTCTGGCTCCAGGAAGTGTGAAGAAATCTCCAAGAAAGAGGAAGCGCAAAGTTGCCAGAGGCCCTGCGAGGGCTGGGAGCTATGTTAGCGATCAGAGTCCCAGGCCCCTTCCCCATTCCACTGACGGAAAGACTGACCCACAGAGTAAGAGGTCAGGGCAGAACCAGGAAACAGGGTGGTTGGTAGGAAGCCGAGAGAGTGCTGGCTGGAGGCCTGAGCTTTGGGCGTGTGGGAGGTGTGGCCTGGGAAGCTCCGTTTCCCTGCCCCTTTGTCCTCCTGTAAAGCGGACTTGGGGTCCACGGACCTGCTTGGGCTCCAGGTTACATGACAGGTGTTCTTCTCCCATCACACCTGGTTTCAGGAGGATGCATGGGGTATAGGGAGGCAAGGAAAACAACCCCAAATGGCCAGGGTGGATTTTCCCTGCCTCCTGTGGCCCTCAGCTCTGATCTCACCTCTCAGGAGACTGTGATGAGAACAGTCTGTTTGGCAGGTCGAGGGGAGGGTGGGGCTGAATCAGAGCAGCCCAGCTGCAGCCAGGCCTCGAGCAGCCTCTGTGGCCCCCCCACCCCACTGCTGCACGCAGCTCGAGCCCTGGCACCACCTCAGCCCTTTTGGAGGCTTTCAGGCCTTGGCTCCTAGAAGTCCTGCCCTGAGCTGGCCTTGAAGAACTGGAAGGACTGGGTCCTCAGAGACCAGCTGGGCCAACGGTCATTTAACAGCCAAGGTTCGAGACTGTGGGAAGAACCTTATCAGGCTGGCTCAGCAGGTTAGAAGCAAAGCCCTGAGATTCTGTCCCCAAGGATCATGCAGTCACCGGACCCCAAAGCAGGACACTCTGCTGCCAAGCCCTCTCCAAGGCCCCTCTCATAGACACAGATGCTGTGAGGACCCCCCACCCCCACCCCGAGCTCATGGGAGGAACTCAGCCCGCCTCCAACCTGGCCACCCTTCCCCTCCCCACACACCGTGCCCATGACCCAACTACCGAGTCTGCCTGCTTCTGGTCACTCAGTGAGTCTTGGCTTCTGCTTGGTTCTGACTCTTCAGGCTCCGCTGGCTGGAACTAGAAGAAAGAAAGAAAGCAGCTTGGCCCAGGTCCGTCCCTCTGTCTACATTCTAATCCGCTCTTCATGTACCACTCGCCAACATCCATTTAATAGCCAGTCTTGAGCAGCCAACCAGATCGTCCATTCATCCACCTGTCCATCTCTCGAACATCCATCGTCCATCATCATACTGCTCATCCATTCTCCCTCCATACATCCAGCATCCATGTGACCTTCCCCATCCACTCATCCATCATCCGTCTCCTCATCCTTCCAACGTTTAATTAATCCATACAACTTCCGATCATCATATTCCACCCAACACTCATCCCTCCATTTGTTCATCGCAATCCACATCAATCCTTTATCCACCATGTAACTTCTGTTCATCTTCCATTAATCAGTTACCCATCTGTCATCCATCCCTCCATCCATCCTAGTACATAATCTATGACTCATCATAAACCCAGCAGCCAGCTCAACTTTCACTGACTTCTTGCATGCACTGTGTATCCACATAGTCCCTGATTAACATCCCCTGAGCTGACCGAGCCCCTCTTCTGTGCCAGGACCCTGAACCAAAGTACCCATAAAAGTAGGCACAGCTCCCGTCCTCATCCCCCTCTGGGAGCTCCTGTTTCTATGGGACAATCCAGTGTAACCAGATGGAGGAGGGCAGAATTTCCCTGCCCAGAGTGGGGGACAGCAGTAGGAATGCACCAGGAAAGGGTGGCTGTTCAGGGAGGACTTCTCAGATAGGGGTACCATCTATGACTTGAAGGCTGAATGGGGGCTGGAGGGATGAGAGGGACAAAAGAACTTTCTGGGCAGTGAGAACAGCCTGTGGGGGGAGAGAGATGTGTGTGCACAGCCTGGCAGCCGGAATGAAAAGTCTGCAGTGAAGGGCAGTCAGGGGCCTGGAACGCCATGCCCAGGACGGTCCCAGAGGGTGAGTGGCCCAGGCAGGACTTGGTGGAGGCCAGCTGTGGCTTGCTTTAAGTTTGTACTTGCATCTGTTTTATCATCTGTGAAATGCTCTGAACACCTGACATTCCCAAGTCCTCCCAAGACACCAGCGCCTAATCTCCCAGAGCCCCCCTTGGGTCCCACCATGGAGTAACTCCAGCTGAAGCATCTGGTGGCTTTCCAGCATCCCTGGGACACAGACTCATGTCCTCCCTGGGCTATCTGCGGGACCCCCAGCATCCCTAGCAAATCTGCCAGCAACTGGCTATCTGGGCCCTGTGGGCTCAGCGCTGCATCTGAGCTGATTAGAGGCTAAGATGATAAAGGCCACATGCAGGGAAAGGAGCTTGGGAGAAGCAGTGACTGCTAACTGAAAGGTCAGCGGTTCAAGTCCACCAGCTGCTCTGTGCTGGGAGGATGTGACTATTAGCTTCTATAATGATTTACAGCCTTGAGAATTCTATTGGCTAGTTCTACCAAAACCCAGAAACCTGCCTTCTGCAGGAGTTCCAACTCATAAGCACACTCTCTCAGGTTTCTAAAGCTGTAAATCTTGATGGAGGAGACTGCCCACCTTTCTCCTTCAGCTTGGCTGAAGGATTTGAACTGGCGACCTTTCTGTTAGCAGCCCAGTATGTTACATTGTACACTGCTCCACCAGAGCTTCTTTGAGTCAGTTCGCCTCTGCCTTTTGTTGTTGTTGTTGTTGTTATTGTGTGCCACTGAGAGAGAACAGACCCAGAGCTGACTATCTGGAGAGTTTTGAGAGGCCGTAAATTGCCCAGGAGGAAACTGCCTATCTTCCCGCAGAGGAGCTGGCGGGTTCGAACCTGCAAGCCTTGGAGATTGCAGCGCAGTTCCTTATAACTAGGCCACAGAGCTCTCTCTGTCTTATAGGGTCGGAACTAACTCAGTGATGAGTAACATAGATGAAGTGAGTGGTTTTCAACGCTGCCGCAGGCTCCAGGGCTTCGGAATGCAGGGCTAAATGCAAGAGCCTCGTGGCCCGTGCTGTGGTCTCATGTCTCACTAACAGGTGCTAGGAGTCAGAGCCTCAGTCTCCTCATCTGTACAAAGGGGCTAATGACAACTCTCTCCTTTCCCTGTGAGATACATACGGCAAAGCCCCAGGCCTGGCACGTGGTGTGTCCTATGCATGAAAGCTCTTGCCATCTAGGGAGCAGGTGGCATTAGACTGAGCACTGACGAAATGAAGTCTGACTGAACAAAAAGTGCCCCTCAAACCACCCCACTGGGGCCTTTCAGGGAAGTAGATGGTCCTGTTTTATAGAGCGAGCCTGAAGCCGACATCCAATGCTGTGTCCCTGTGGGTCACATGGCCCTGGCGCCCAGCCTGGCTCCACTGTAGCCCCTCAGAGAGCTGCTCTGAGCACTGAGGCAGCACTCAGTACCACTGACATGGGGACCTTGTCTCCTGGACAGAGGCCCCCGGCCAGGCACTGGCTGACTCTGCCCTGTTCCCTGTGCCTAGGGTCCACGCAGCCCGGGGAGCATGCGGGCAGCCTCTTCTCTTTGCTGTGCCAGCTTGGAGCTTCGGGAGGCAGAGGGAGGTTCTCAGCCCTCGAGGAACTTGGAATACACACTTTGGCCACAGTCCCAGGCAGTGTCCGATACTGGTTACTGGAGACTGGACGAGCCAGGCATTGTGGGGCCAGGAGGGAGGTGAGAAGGCTCTGGCCAGAACGCTGAGCAGACCTCAAGTCCACACTTGCTTGCTCCAGACTAGCTGTGTGACCTTGGACAAGTGGCACAGCCTCTCTGCTTCTCCAGAAACAAGCAATGCCGTTCTCATCAGGTGACAGTGGAGATTGTGGCAATGCTGTCAGATGCCCACAGGTCGGTCCTGACTCGGAACAGCCTAACGTGACGGCAGGGAACTGCCCCTCAGGGTTTTCAAGGCTGTCATCTTTACGGAAGCATATTGCCAAATCGTCCTCCCTTGGAGCCGCTGGGTGGGTTTGAACCGCTGACCTGTCAGTTAGCAGTCAGACACTTACCCACTGTGCAACCAGGGCTCCTAGCTGTGGAAACTAAATGAGGGCAGGGAAATACAAGAAAACATTGAGACCAGAGAGTGCCACCTGAGACAGATGGAGAACCGGCCTTGGTGGGTCATGTCAGGTCCTAGTGGGTGTGCAGGGCTCAGGAGGGGACAGTCACAGGAAGAGCTGTACAAGAAGACTGTCCAGTACAGGGTAGATCTATCAGCTGCCCCCGAGAATGAGGTGGACTTACCTTCTGCTCCGGCGACCCAGGGTCCTCCTCAAAGCTTGTCTTCTCCAGCTGACTCTGCTCCTCCAGACCTGCTACTGTCAAGCTTTCTGGTCCACTGGTCACTTTGGTCTTTGGCCACTGGGTGGAGGTACAGGCAGGGCTGGGCGGCTGGGCCGGGCTCTGGGGCCACTGCTCAGGGCTGTGTCCGTTGACTAAGGTGGCTTCGGTCCAGGCATCAGGCTGGCTGTGTGGCTCTGGCTCCGGGACATCTTTTGGTCCTGCGGGACCCACCTCTGGCCCTGAAGACTTGGCTGGGCCACCCCAGTGCCCAGTGGTGTCCCTGTGGGGTAGCCGGGCCTGCAGGAGCTCCAAAAGGCCTTCCCAGGCCAGCCGGGGCAGATGGGCTGCAAGGGGCAGCTCGGCCAGGCGGGCCCAGGCCCCCTCTCTGGGAACCTGGAGCAGACTCACCAGGTCCCTCCAGTCAAAGTCAGGCCGCCTCTCAGGACCTCGCGAGTGGGGGTCTGCACCCTCTGCCCGCCAGCCCTCAGCGCCAGGAGTCTCCGGGGGGCTCACGGCTGGGTGGGAGCTGGCCAGCTCTGGTAGACTGCCCCAGCCCCTCTGGCCTGACCTCTCGGGGGGTTTTTGCAGCCCATTACTGGGGAGACCCTCCCTTACCTCTGACTGCCGCCCCCAGCTCTCAGATTCCTTGGGAGGACCCCTGCATGTTCCCTCAGAGGCCCTGGAGGCCCCCAAAGAGGACTCCCCAAGTCCTGACCAGCCCCCAGGACCTGGAGCCTCCTCCTCCTGGCTGCTCCAGTCCCTCTCTGGGTGTCTGTGAGGGCCCTGGGACCCCAGAAGCTCTTCCTGGCTTTGCCAGCCCCCTAGAGGCTGCTTCAGGCCTGCATGGCCACTCTTAGGAGGTCTTTCTGTCCTTCGATCCATCTCAGAAGTTCTGGCTGACGTCCTGGGGGGCTGTGAGGACCCCTGGAGCCGACGGTCTCCCTCGGGGCGTCTCTGGGGGCTCCTGGCAGGAGGGGCTTCTGCTCGGCTGCGCCTGGCTGGTTCTGCCTGCTTCGGAGGGGGCTTGGTCACCTGAGGATGAGGAGGCGGGTGAGGCTCCAGGCTCCAGGCCCAGGGCTGGGTGGCCTCTGTGTGGACCCCTGGGCGAGGCCATGCTTCATTCTCACCACAGCCAGACTCGGAGCAGGCAGGGAAGGACATGGGCTCCCCTCTCAGGGGCCCCCCTCTTCTCTCTCACTCACTTTCTCCAGTCCCAGAAACAGATCTGCAAAGAGCTCCTCACTTTCAGGGCTTCCCCACCCCCATGAGATCGATTCCAGCCTCAGCTATCAGATGCCTGAATTTCTACCTCCCACCACTACTAGCCAGTCCCACTGGGCCAGGCTCAGCCTCCCGGAGCCTCTTCAGAAAGCCACATCCCCACCCTGGAAAGGCAGCCCGGAGCTGGACTGAGGCGGCTTTTCCTGCCAGAGTGGGGGCAGCGTGGAGGGGCTGTCTTCAAAGGGGTAGTTGGAGTCCATGCAATTTTGCCAAGAGCTGCTGGCCTGTGAGGAGCAGGGTGGCTGGACACCCGTGGTTGGGGCTTCAAAACCACCCCCAACCCCTTGCCACTGAGTCACCGCCAGCTCATAGCAAGGTTGTCAGTCTGATGATCCATCTTCCTCCCATGGAGCCGCTGGTAGATTTGAACTGCTGGCCTTTTGATTCGCAGTCCAGTATGTTACCACTACACCAGGGCTCCTTTGGACTACATCATAAAGGACCTCCCTTCCCAGGACCCTGCTGGCCCCTGGAGGTGGGGAGAAGCCAAGGCCCGCCCCTTGGGGGGTGAGGAGGGGGGCTCACCTCCCTGCTGAGGGCAGGGCTGGACTGTCTTCGGAGAAGCTGGCTCTGACCTTGGCCGGGCCTCTGCGACTGCCCCTCGTCTCGGGCCTGGAAGGCCCCTGGTGCCTCGGACTTCCTATGAGCAAACGCAGCCGCCCCTCTGAGGGCCCTTGGGACTGCTGTCCCCCCCTCCGGGCACCCAGTTTCTCTGCACCCACCCCCAGCGGGTGGAGGTGAAGGAGATCCGGCTCCCTACATGAGGGCTGTCCCTCTTGGAGGCTGTTTCCCCTTCTGAAAAATGGGATGGTCAACATAAACTTGGTGATGAAATGAGATACAGGGGAGGGGGTGTGGTGTCAGGTCTTGGCCATGGCTGCCTCCTCCTCTGAGCACTTCCTACTACTGACCACTACCCAGCAGGGCTCCCGCCCGCTCCCAGACAAAGGTTAGACTGGTCCTTGTGGGAATGCAGATTTAGTGAGCACGTGCTTTGTACCAGGCACTGTGCACTCATAATCAAACAGCAAGTATTTCTTTATTGAGTGCATCCTATATTCAGATGCCAAGTATTTGGTACACACTATCTCATCTTAACCACCGAAACCCATGAGGGGGTACTGCAGATGCAGAACACCAGAATTATGTGTCCCGTTCTCCCATTCTTTTTTTTTTTCCCCTGCCCTTTTCCTGCTCGTATGGGAAGTTCTTTTTTTTTTTAAATTTTATTATATTATTGTGTGTGTGTGTGTACCATCAAATCAGATGTGACTGGTACAGGAGGAGATTGTCCCTCCTTCTCCAGCAGAGCATCTGGTGGATTTGAACCATGCACCTCTGGGATGGCAGTACACCTTCTTGCCACTAGGCCACGTATGGGAAGTTCTGAGCTGCTCAGAGCTCCATTGCCCCCACTCCACCCTCAAGCTCTAAGTTTCTTAGAAGAAGTAGTCAGAATGCTCCTTAAGAGTGAGCATGGGGGGAGCTCTGGTGGCCTAGTGGCAAGAAGCTGCATTACAATCCCAGAGGCGCACGGTTCGAATCCACCAGATGCTCTGCCGGGGAAGGAGGGACAATCTCCTCCTGTACCAGTCACATCTGATTTGATGGTACACACAAATAGTAAAATAAAAATAAAAAGAGTGAACATGGCCAGACTCATCTCTTGGACATGTTAACAGGAGAGCTGGTTCCTAGAGCAGGCCACGAAGATGAGCTGCAGCAAAGGGCTCTCACACAGCAGGGATGGCGGGAGTAGAACCACGCAGTGTTTGTTCTGTGGGACTGACGGCTGCGATGGGTGGTCAGAACGGACTGAATGGCATCTAACAAGAGCAACAGGGCTAACCAACCGAATTCCAGCCCTTGGCTTCGAAAACACCAGGCCGTCTGTTGCTCCAAGAGCTCTTAGTAAGATCAAAGTGTCTCTCGGCCCACACCCTTGGAAAAGTCAACACACAGAACTGCCCAGGCGAACATTGCTTCTAACACAAGCCAGGCTTCAGGCATCATTGCCACCATCTGGCAAACCTCTAACCTGTAAAAAGCCTCGAGTTCGAGTCAGATGTCTTGCTTAATAATTGGTAGCCACAGTAGTTAATATTTAACGTGGCGTCTGTGTTTGTTGGAATGCAAGTAGCTCTTTAGGCAAATAGAACCTGGGTATATCTCTCCTCTCTCCAAAGGCCCAGCCACTCAGCAGGCCCTGAGTTCAACGGGATTTCAGTCTGACTTCCTCCTCACCACAGATGGGCCTGTGCCTCTGGGTTGAATCAAACCTACGGGAAGAGACACTGGGATAGAAGCCCTCGTGTTGAGTCGGACACGAGCGGACAAAAAGCGAGCGACAAGGACCATCTCCTGGGGCCTCTGCAGTCAGCCTCCTGACAAGCACACACGCTGCAACTCCAGAGTCTCCAACAGCGAAAAAACGCAGGCTTGGGCTTTGCTGGTATTGATGTCTTAGGTCTTTTCCTAAGCATTAGAGGTGGAGCCACAAAGAATCAGAGGGGTTTTAGCAGTTTTGTGTTGGTTCAGAGTGGAGTTCGAGTTTTCTACTCCGGAGTAAGTATTGCTAGTTTGAAGCATGTCTGGTCAATCTGCATTGAGGTGAGTGATATTCCTGGCACTCTGAGGGCCCAGGTCTGCTGGGTGTCTTCCTCAGAACTGGTGGGGAGGAGCCTCCAGGAAGGAAAGACCCCAAGCAGGATGAGCTGGACAGGCTGCCCCAAGGGAGAGGAGAATGGTGTGGGGATGAGGACGGGATTCCTGGTGGAGGTGGACAGGCACGTACTCTCTTTGGAATGGGTGCACCTTCCATACCAGCTCCAGCTTTCTCAATGATGTAATCATTTCTCTGAGGTTATCTCCTCCAGGGGACCAGAGAGAAGGCTGGAGGACTCTGGGCCCCTTAGGGAGACCCCAGCTTTCCGATGCTGAAGCAACAGCCTCTCCTGGACCACCTACCCGTGAGGGTGGGGGCCTGACCACATCAAGGATGGCAGAGGAAAGGAAGCACAGATGGGCTCCTTGGCCTCCAGGGGACACTCAGGAACAAAAATTGTCCAGTCTCACAAAGGTAAATGGCATTTGGAACCAGTACTTTTTTTGAATTTAATACCAGTACCAGTTGCCAAAGGCTGATATATATTTTTTTCTATTTTTTTTTGTGTACCGTCAAATCACATCTAACTGGTACAGGAGGAGATTGCCCCTCCTTCTCCAGAAGAGTATCTGGTGGATTCGAACCGCTTATCTCTGGGATTGCAGTGCAGCTTCTTGCCATTAGGCCACCAGAGCTCCCTCAAAGGCTGATTTTTTTGAGAAGCAGTTCACCAGGCCTTTCTTCTGAGGTGCCTCTAGGTGAACTTGAACATCCAGCTTTTCAGCTAGCAGCCCGATGTGTAAATCATTTATTCCACCTAGGGATTCCCTTTTGACTTTCAGAAACAATACACTTCTATGTTTCCAAGAGAAGAGATGGCAGTGGCTTCTAGGGGGGGGATATTAAGTTACCAAGCCGAAACTCTTAACATTTTTATTTGATCATCTTTTAAGAAAAGGTCCGCGCTTGGCTACAACAATGCTGACAGAGTAAATGCTCAATAAATACATGTTGAGTAAATAAATGGGGAGCTTCTAAAGCAAGCCTCTACAACCACCCTGGCATAAGAACACAGAGGAGTGAACGAAGGAGTAAACAAAGCTAGTTATCATCAAGTTGCTGATGACTCGCTGTGGCCCCACTTGTGTGAGAGCATCATGCACAAAAGCCTGTTCAATGGCTGGCTTCTTTAGAACTGGAGTGCCAAGCCTTTCTTCCAAGGCACTTTTGGGTGGGCTCAAACCTTTAACTTTCCAATTAGCAACAAAGCACGTTAACCATGTACACAACCAAAAGCCTACACAGATGCTTAAGGTATAAAAAAAAGTCCTTTTCAGAGGACTAACGGTTTCCTACTTGGAAAAGGTGCCATACAAGTGAGACGTTTCAATTACTCTGTGGTTACAAAACCTTCGTTAAAAGGTAAACAGTCTTCAAAAAGAGTAAAAGAAAATGTATGGGAATAACAATAATAATGGCATGATTATGAAAATAGACATATTCTTGCTTTCTAAAAGAAGCTATTTCTGTAATAGTTATCCCAGTAAGAAGGGGAAAAAAATTAGCTCTGTGTTTTTAAAGACTTTCCTGTGTCCTGTCCATCCTGAGTTATCAGATCAAGTCAAAGGCATGCTAGTCGACTTCCAACAAAACCTGAAGTGAAGCCCATTGCCATCGAAGTGATGCTCGATCACATTTCTGAGGCGGCAAATCTTCACGGGGGGAGACTGTTCAACTTCCTCCCTCAAAGTGGCTGGTAGATTTGAACCACTGACCTTTTAGTTAACAGCCCAACTCTTAAGCACTGCACTGCACTGCACTACTAAGGCTCCTTCAGAGCAAAACTAGTTGCTAGGGGCTGTCGAGTCAGAATCAACTCATACTTGACCTTCCAGTGGATTTTCAGAGTCATACAGGAGGAAACTGCCCATCCTTCTCCCGTGAAGCAGCATGGATTCGAACCCCATGCCTCTGGTATTGTAGCTCAGCTTTTTACCACTAGAGCTCCCTAATGACCATCAAAAGATCAAAGAAAGAATTGTACCCATGCTGGAGACTATAACGTTTTGTTGCCTGGATAATACAGGGATTGACTGCATGGGTTTCTCTTGCAGTTTCAAATCCAAGAGAAAGCTGGCTACAGGGTCAACACAGAGGAGGCAAACTATTATGTGGTCCTATAGCGTGAAGGCACTGTGGTGATGGGTTAATTGGTAAACACAGTACACTAAACTTCATCGAATTGAGTGCTTATTCTAAGCCTAATTCTTTTATTTCATTTTGCTTGGTCTCTCTGACCAGCTCTGACCCTTGAAAATCCCTGAAGGAGTGAAAATTAAATCGCAAACACGCAGCTCCATCCTGACCTGCCTGTCGTAGCTCGTGGCACTGCTGACCACGGAGGCTCACCAGACCCCTGGCCTCAGGCCTTGTCACCATGCCCTAGGGACAAACATCTAATTTCCAAAAAGCCTGCAATCCTGTGAGCTCTCCTATTCACAATACGTGCTCAGGCCACATGCTGACATTTTCTGACAGGCCCAGGGGCCCGGAGTTATCTTTGCCAGAGCAGGAGAGAACCAGGAACATCGGCCTCTTCTCCACAGTCAAGGTCTAAACAAAACACACCTGTGGCTCTAGATAAACCACAGGACCTGGGAGTTGAACCTCATGGGAAGTTCTCCCCATTTTACAGATAGGGAGACTGAGGCCCAGGTAGCTAACCATGCTTTACCAGATCACACAGGTTGGTGAATAGTTCTGACGCAGGATTTGAACCCAGCCTGCCTGTCTCTGGTCTACCTTATTAGCCACTAAGCTATTTTACTTAATCCTAAAGAAGGAAAAAGCGAACAAGTGGATGGAGAAATGGAGATGAAATGACTTGGCTAAGGTCACACAGCCAGTAAATGACAGAGCAGGGATTTGACCTCTGGCAACTATTCCACCCAGCCTGTCGCTGGCCAGGGCACCTCGTCCCCATCCCACCTGGCCGACCCCGCCCTGGGCTCACCTGCGCTCTTGCCCGAAGAGGCGCTCCACCTCTGCTCGGCCAGGGCTGCGGGTTCGGCCCCCGTTGCTGCCCTGCGCCTGGGGCCCTGGCTCCCTCTGTGCCAGCCTCCTGGGCGGGGGCAGGTCGGCCAGCACGGTGTACTCCTCCCTCTCCAAGTTGTGCCTGGTCTCCCCCGGGGGCACTGAGCCCCGAGAGCCCCCCGAGCTGCACGGTGGAGGTGAGAGGGCCAGGAGCGCCAGGTCACTGGGTGGGTGGCGAGGTGGGGAGGAGGCCCGGGGCGCATCCCGGTGCCCAATGCACACGTGTGGAGGCAGCATGAGGGCACCGTGCAGAGAGTCAGTGGAAGGGGCCAGACTTTCCAGACTGGCCCCAGGGGGGTCCTGGAAAAACAGAGAGGGCTCGGGGGCCTGGCGTGGGGGGGATGAGAAGTAGGGTGCGTCCCGGTGCCCGATGCACACAGGGGTGGGGATATGGGGGGGCTCGTGCAGAGAGTCAGTGGAGGGAACTAGGCTCTCGGTGCTGGCCCTGGGGAAGTCCTGGAACAAGAGGGAGGGCTCTGGGGCCTGGCGAGGTGGGGAGGAGGCCCGGGGGGCATCGCGGTACCCAATACACACGAGTGGGGGGAACTGGGGTGGATCATGCTGGGGGGACTGATTCTCAGTATCAGATGTGTCTGGAAGGAAGGGGAAAGGGTCAAACTGGGCATGGCGGGGAGGCGAGGAAGCCCGGGGGGCATCCCGGTGTCCGATGCATACGGCAGGTGGCATATAGGGGAGCTCATGGTGGACAGACTCACTCTCAGCTGCACGGGGGTCGGGGAAGAAGGGGAAGGGGTCATGTTGCAGATAGCGAGGTGGTGAAGAGGCCCGAGGGGCGTCCCGGTGCCCGATGCACACGGCACACAAAGGCTGGGGGGGTTCGGAGGTCTGCGATGCAGCTCGGCTAAGGGGGTACAGAGGAGAGGAAGTCCGAGAGCCACCGTGGAGTCCCGGGTTATGGGCAGAAGAGGTGGCCCGAGCTGGGGAGCTGTGCTGTGCAGGGCCAGAGGAGGCCTGGCCTGGATCCTGCTGGGCTGCTCTGGAGGGAGAAGAGGTCTGAGGCCTGTCCCCTTGGGTCGGCCGAAGGGCAATGGACGCCCAGGGCACCTCACTCTGCTTGGCGCGAGACGGTGAGGAGGTCCGGCCTCCATCGCTCTGCGTCGGCCGGAGGGGGAAGGCAGCCCAGGGGATGTCTTTGTTGGTCCGGTGTGGCGAGGAGTTCCTGGGATTGGAAGTCCTGGGATTGTTTCGTTGAGCAGACCGATGGGGGGAGGCCGGTCCGGGGTTGTCCTGTTGGGGGCAGCACCGAGGGGAGGAGGTGCCAGGGTTGTCCCGCTTGGAGGAAGATGAGTGTGGGTTACTCTGGGGTGTGGGAGAGCAGTGTGGCTTGTCCCGCGGGGTCCCAGATGTTCTGGGGTTATCTCGTGGAGGGCAAGAGGTTTTAGGGTTGTCTCGTGGGGCAGAAGGTCTGAGGCTGTTCTGTTGGGTACAAGAAGCTCTGGGGTTGTCTCGCTGGGAGGCATGGCTCGGAGAAGAGGTTCTGGGATTGTCTCTTTGGATACAAGAGGTTCTAGGGTTGTCCCGTTGGGTGGTTCGGGTGGGAGAAGAGGTTCTGGGGTTGTCCCGCTGGGTGGTTCGGGTGGGAGAAGAGGTTCTGGGGTTGTCTCTTTGGGTACAGGATGCTCTGAGATCATCCCTCTGGGTGGTCCGGCTGGGAGAAGACGTTCTGGGATTATCTCTCTGGGTACAGGATGTCCTGCTATCATCCCTCTGGGTGGTTCGGTTGGGTGAGGTGGCTCTGAGATTATCCCTTTGGGCATAGGAAGTTCTAGAGTTGTCCCGTTGGGGGTTACGAGCAGGAGAAGGATTTCGGGGGTTATTCTGACGAGTTGAAGAGGTTCTGGCATTCTCTTGTTGGGTGATCCTGGAGGGAGAAGAAACGTGAGGATTGTTTCTCTGGGTGGAAGAGGCCCTGGGATTGTCCCGCCGGCTGGTTCTGGAAGGAGAGGAGGCTCTAGGGGTGTCCTGTGGAGTGGCTGAGGCTCTCGGGGTGTCCCGCTGGGTGACTCGAGCAGGAGACGAGGCTCGGAGGGTCTCCCGTTGTGGAGCAGAAGCCTGGGCAACATCCCGCTGGGCAGTGCGCTGGGGGAGGGAAGCCTGGGAGAAGGTGGCACTTCGAGGTCCACTCTGAGGGGTGGAGGGAGCCTGGGTTGGCACCGAGCGGATCTTCTCCAGGGGGAAGTTCCCGCTTTCTCCCCGGAGCTTCGCCCAGTGCTGTCGTCCGGAGCTGGTGTCTGGAGAAGAGAAGAAAGAGGGGTGAGGCAAGAAGAGGGGTGAACCACTCCCACAGCCGCTGACCTTTCTTTGTCCCCGGGACAGATGATCAGGGCAGACCTCATCATCCAGACCAGGTGGCCCACCTCTCTGATCAAAGCCAAATAGCAAAGGGCTGGAGCAGGAATTGGGTTTGAGAACAAATGACACAGAGTGGCTGGGCTCCAGATCTCGAAAGTGACACAGTCTGAAAGTTTGTGGACAAATTACAGAAGAAGCACACACAGAGAGACTTTGACAATGACTCCTGTAACCCCAGAGAGGGAACCCCACAACAGCTACCTTGCAGCCTCCCTGCTTCTGGTTCTACTTCTAGATGTCAAGAAAGTCCTTCAAGTTCTTCTAATGAGCCCCTTTCACATGGAAGGCTCTGGAAAGTTCCTGTTCCTTATACCCTCCAAAGGTCCTGGGATTGTCCCACGGGGCACAGGCTCCGGGGTTTTCTTGCTGAGTGGCTTGTTGGGGAAAGACGTCCTAGAATTGTCCTCAGCTCAGACCAGGATCTGGGCTGGGAGAGGCTTCGTGGTTGTGTAAGGCTCAGCGTGTAAACCATGAGAACTCGTGTGAACAAGACACACAGGTGGGTGGCATGCACACTCCGGTTTAAGAAGTGCTGAGCTAAGGGAAGAATGACGCAATTGTCCTAACAATGGCCCCTTTACAACACCCACCCCAGTGACCCGATGATGACCTCGGTGTTACCCGCCACCCCCTCAATCCCTTGGTCCAAGCATATGTTGGCAACCCTCTGCGCTCCCACCCTGGGCCGGAGCTTCCGAAGAGAATCGAGAAGTATTCATCTAGAAGGATCTCTCCTACGTCATTTCTTCCATTCACTAGCTACTTGACATTCTAGAGCAAATTCCAGAATCTCTTCTGATATCCATTTGGGTTTTTTCTTTCTCATCGTCTTAATGACAAACATATCCCAAGTTATTGTTGTGTGCCATTGAGTCAGAATCGACCCATCGCCAAGCCTCCAGCAGCTTTTCAAAGGCAGTTTTTGTTTGGCTGGTTTGCCCCCCCCTTTTCTTTTCTTGTTGTGTACCATAGAATCAGATCCAACTGGCACAGGAAGAGATTGCAGCAGAGGATCTGTTGGATTCAAACCACGTGCCTTTGGGATTGCAGCATCAGAGGCAGTTTAATTGCACGGAAGGTGGTTTTGCACATCCTTCTCCCTCGGAGCAGCAGTACAGCTCTGACCACTAGGCTGCCAGAGCTCCTGGTGCAATCCCACTGTTGTTGGTGTTGTTAATTATTGTTATGTGCCCTCGAGTTGCCTGCAACTCATAGCGACCCTCCTATGCACAATAGCTCTGAACCCTGTCCTATCCTGAGCCAATCTCACTGTCTTCAACATACCTGCCCCTATTACCCCCGTCCCTGAGTCAATCCATCTCGTCCAGGGTCCTTCTCTCCTGCATTGTCGTTCCACTGTTCCAAGGATGATGTGTTTCTCCAATGACTGATTCCTCCTGGCCACATGTCCAAAGTACGTAAGATGGAGCTTCAAAATCCTTGCCTCCAGAGAACAACTTGGTTTCCCCCCTGTTTGTTTTCTTGGCGGTCCATGGTATGTTCAGTACTCTTCTCCAGCACCACAACTCAGAGGCATCAATTCATTTTCTGTCATTTTTGTTCACTGTCCAGTTCTCTGGTTCATAGCAAGTGATGGCAAAAACCATGGCCTAGATCAGGAACACCTTAGTCTCCAGTCTGACATCCTTGCTCTTCAGCAATCTGGAGAGGTCCCTGACAGCATACCCCATAACCATCCTAAAATATGTTTCCAATCTGTCTGTCTCTTCCACTGTCTCCCCACTCCAATCCTTCCTCATCTCGTCTCGATGGTCACAACAATCCCATCCATGAATTTTGGTCTTGAGGACATGGTTCCATCTAGGAGATAATCAGGCCACCCAGGCTTAAAACTTTCTAGGGCAAGAAGAGGAAGACCAAAGAAACGGCCACAGATTGGAGAAGACTAGGGAGACATTGGGGCTCCGGGGCCCTAGTGGTAAGAAACTGCACTGCAATCCCAAAGGTAAGCAGTTCGAATCCATCAACTGCTCTACAGGAGAAGGATGAGAAATCTCCTCCTATTCGATTAACTGCTTCTGAAAACCTGTCGGATGGTCAGCTATTCATTGGCTCTGACTCTACCGTACACAACAACGAGGAGACACTAAGGTTAGAATATGCATGGGATCCTGGCTTTGAATGACGTCTATAATTTCATTAATGGTATTGTACCACCATTAAGTATCTGCATTTTACTCTGTGTACTATGATTATCTCAGAAGAAAGATGTGGCAGTCTTCAGCTGTCAGAATTATAACCTTAAGGGAGCTCTGGTGGCCTAATGGCAAGAAGCTGCACTGCAATCCCAGAGGCTTGTGGTTCGAATCCACCAGATGCTCTGCTGGAGAAGAAGGGACAATCTCCTCCTGTACCAGTCAGATCCAATTTGACCGTGTACACACACACACACACACACACACACACACACACACTCTATAACATTAGAAACCATATTGTTGTGTACTGTAGAGTCAGAACTGACCCATACCTGGCCCTTCAGTGGGCTTTTCAGAAACAGTTCATCACACAGGAGGAGAATGCCCATCTTTCTCCCACAGAGCAGCTGATAGATTCGAACTGTGTACCTTTGAGTTGGCAGCACAAGTCTTTACCACTAAGCCACCAGAGCTCTCTTAGAAACCTGCAGCTGTTGTTGAGTACCATCGAATTGTAACCAACCCACAGCTGACCCTCCGGCAGGTTTTCAGGGGCAGTTAATAGCATTGGAGATCACCAATCCTTCTCCCACAGAGCAGCTGGTGTGTTTGAACCATGTGCCTTTGAGATTGCAGTGCAGCTTCTTACCACTAGGCCACCAGAACACCCTATAGAAACCTTAGAGTCCCTATATGACATGGATTGAGTAGTGTGTCCTCAAAACACGTGTCAATGTGTCTAGACAGGGTCTCAGTGTGATGTGTTCAAAGGCCTAACCTCTCGGAGGCAGTCATTCCCTGTGATGTGATCTGAGATGTGATCAGCCAATCAGGTGTAAGGGGATCAGTGGGAGCCTTGATCTGATGTAAGAAGGGTTTCCCTGGGGTGTGGCCTGCATCGCCTTTTGTGTTCTAAGAGATCAAAGGAGAGGAGTAAGCAGAGCAGAGAGGCACCAGGAAAGGCCAGGGGAGGAACACATCCTTCAGACCAAGGTCACTGCGCTGGGAAGATCCTCGATGACACAGTGGAGGCCAAAACATACGATCTCCAAGCCATGCTGGCCTGCAGAGGCCGAAGATGACAAGGATTTCCCACCAGAACCAACAGGGAGGGCTGGCACCCTGAATCTGGACTTCTGGCCTCCAGAACAAAAAAGTCAGAGGATGAATTGCTGATTGCTGAGGCTGTGTCTGCAGAACAGCCCTAAATACCTAAGACCATGGGGTTGATGGGCACTGGGGCTGATGGGCACTGGGAGGTTGATGGGCACTGGGGTTGATGGGCACTGGGAGATTGATAGGCACTGGGAGGTTGATGGCAGTGGAGAATCCAAGGGAGGAGATTCTCTACCACCTTGATAATTTTTAACCTCTGATGTATAAACACTATTTCTTCAGGGGTCTCTGACCCCGGGTGAGAAGCTGGCAAGGTGCTGCACAGTCTGGTCTTGGCCCCCAGGCCATCCCAACCTTCCTTCCTGAGCACTGTCTCCCCAGCTCCCTCTCCCTTGAGTTCCACAAACACTTCCCCCACTCCAGGTGCCCTGCACCTCCTGTCCCCCCACCTGCAGCACTCTCCTGCTTCATGTGGCCAACTCCTTCTCATGTACTGCACTCTGTTTCTACGTCCCCTCCGCAGCCTGCCGGTCGCCTCCCTGTTCACTTGCCCTCTGCATCTGTCTGTCTGATCACCCTCTGAGGAGTTCTGTCTGGGTAGGGCCTATGCTTTCTTGTTTTCCACCATATCCCTTGGATTCAGAGTCCTGCTTACCACACAGTAGGTGTGCCTTGAGCACGGGACCTGTCTGAGATGTTGTCTGTCTATCACCACTCCCAGTGACTCGTAGTTGGGTTGGTGTCCCCAGTTCAGCTACAGACTGGCCCCATTCACTTTTTTTTTTAAGTTGTGATAAAGTATACCTAACAGCCCTTTCCTCAGTTGCCGCTAAATGCTCGGTCCTTCCGCAGAAGCTAAGACCACTTTGGGGTGAGGCCCTCACTTCATCCGGTGACTAGGACCGCGTCCAGCAGCCTTCAGCCTAACACCACCGCACTATGGCCTCCATCTCTGAGCTCGCCTGCATCTACTCGGCCCTCATCCTGCACGACGATGAGGTGACCGTCACGGAGGATAAAATCAATGCCCTCTTTAAGGCAGCCGGTGTGCATGTTGAACCTTCCTGGCCTGGCCTGTTTGCAAAGGTCCTGGCAAATGTCAACATTGGGAGCCTCATCTGCAATGTGGGCGCTGGTGGACCTGCCCCAGCAGCCGGGGCTGCACCGGCTGGAGGACCTGCCCCCTCCTCTGCTGCTGCTCCAGCTGAGGAGAAGAAAGTGGAAATCAAGATAGAAGAATCTGAAGCATCTGATGATGACACAGGATTTGGTCTTTTTGACTAAACTCCTTTTGTAATATGTTCAATAAAAAATCCTGAACTCTTGAAAAAATATATACGTAACACATGGGAAAGTCTGCTATTAGGGACCTCTCCAAAGTACTGAAGAGCAATGGTGTCTCTCTGGAGACTAAGGTGCGTCTGATACAGGCCATGGTCTTTGCAATCACTTGTTATGCATCAGAGAGTTGAACAATGACCAAGGAGGATAGAAGGAGAATTGATGCCTTTGAGCTGTGGTGCTGGAGAAGAGTATTGAGGGTACCATGGACTGCTAGGAAAACAAACAGATTTGTCCTGGAAAGAGTTAAACCGGGTGGCTCCTTGGAGGCAAGGATTCTGAGGCTCTGTCTAACATACTTTGGACATGTTGTGAGGAGAGACCGGTCCTTAGAGAGGGACATCATGCTTGGGAGGGTGGAGGGACGGCGCAGGAGAAGAAGGTCCTCTATGAGGTAGATTGATTCAGTGACTGGGATAATTGGGATGGGAGTGTCAGAGACGGTGCAATTGGCACAGGACAGCGGAGTTTAGGGCTGTTGTACATAGGGTCGCTATGAGTCGCAGGCGACTCGACGGCACATAACAACAACAACATAAAAATGATCATTTTAACACTTTTTTACGTGTACATTCCTGTGACACTACTAGTTACATTCAACCATGTTGTGCAACCAATACCTGTCATCATCCCAAACAGAATGTACGCACCCCTAATCAATAACTCCACTCCCCCAGTCACTGCCACCTCTTATCCATATTCTGCCCCTGTGCTCTAGACATTTCACACAACTCAAGATCATTGCCATGCAGTTGATTCTGACTCCTAGCTGACCCCTCAATGGGTTTCAAAGGCTGTAAATCACATGGGAGGAGATTGTCCACCTCTCTCCCGAGGAACCACCAGTGCATGTGAACCTGTGGAGAAAGGAATCATTTCATCATCCATCTGACAGCACGTATCAGAACCCCACCGCCCTTTATGGCTGAATTAACACTCCACTGTGTGGACAAACGCGTTCTGTCCTCTCTCATCTCTTGGTGGGCACTTGGGTTGTTTAGTGTAACACTGGTACCTGTATCTGACTGAGTTGCTCCTGTCATTTCTTTTAGCTATATACCCAGATTTTCACTGGCTAAGAATATTGAATAGACGACAGAGCGCCAGAAGAACAAATGGATCTGTCTTGGCGGAAGTACAGCCAGCGCGCTCCTTAGAAACAAGGATGTTGAGGCTTCATCTTACCGACTCTGAGCACATCACCAGGAGGAACCAATCCCTAGAGAAGATAATCCTGCTGACAGAGCAGTGAGTGAAGGAGGGGAGATCCTGAACGGGCTGAGTGATGCAGTGACTGCAAAAATGATCCCTGCTGATACCAGACGGCACAGGGCAGCAACAACAACAGGCGTAGGAGTGGAGTTTCTGGTTCGTCTGAGGACTAAGGTGCATCTGATTCAGGCCATGGGTTTTTTAATCACTTGCTGTGCTGCTGAGAGCTGGACAGTGAATACGGATGACAGAAGAAGAACTGATGCCTTTGAGCTGTGGTGTTGGAGAAGAGTACTGAATATCCCATGGACTGCCAAAAGAACAAATAGGTAAGTCTTGGAGAAGGTGCAGCCAGAGTGCTTCTTGGAGGCAAAGATGATTAAACTTCGCCTCACATACTCTGGGCACGTTGTTATGAGAAGGTGGAGTGGTGGTGAAAGAGAGGAATACCCTCAACTGGTTGGATTGACACAGTGACTGTAGCACTAGGATTTTGTATGTCAAAGATTATGAGGATGGTACAGGATAGGGCAGGGTTCAGATCTGTGCTTCATAGGGTCGCTATTAGTCGTACTCGATTTGACGGCACTTAACAACAGGTTGAAAAAAGAATTGATGCCTTTGAACTGTGCTGTTGGAGAAGAGTGCGGAATACCCCTTGGATTGCTAAGAGAACAAAGTGCACCAGAGTGCTCCTTGGGAGCAAAGATGACAAAGCTTCGTCTCACATACTTTGGGCGTGTTGCTAGGAGAGGCTATTTCTTGGAGAGGGGCATCATGCTTGGAAAGGTGGAGGGTTGATAAAAGAAAGGATGACCTCAGAAAGATTTGACACAGTGACTGCAGCAATGGCTCAAGAATGTCAGAGATGGTGAGGGTGGCACAGGGTAGGACAGAGTTCAGATCTGTTGTTCGCAGGGTTGCTATGAATCAGATTCAACAGCACCTAACAACAACAACAAAGTTAAAAGAAGTGAAGAAAAGAAATCTGAGTTGCAATACTGAAGGTTTCTAAAGGCAAAATCTTGAATGATTCAGGAATCATCAAAAGAAGGTAGAAAGAATACAGTCACTGTATCAAAAGAATTGGTTGACATGAATCATTTCTGGAAGAAGCATATGATCAAGAGCCAATAGTATAGAAGAAAGAAGTTCAGGCTTCATTGGAAGTATTGGCCAAAAATAAGGTACCAGAAATTTATGTAATGCCAATTGACATTTTTCAACCAACAGACATAGCTCTGGACAGGCTCACTAGTACATGCCAAAGAACTTTGGAAGACAGCTACCTCACCAGCTGAATAGAGAAAAACAAATATGGAAGAGATCCACATTTGCTTCCATTCCCAAAAAATGTGTTCTAGCAAAATGTGGGAATTATCTCAACGATTTAGATCCTCCCAGAAGAGCTGTGGGTGAACATTAACATTACTGGTAAGTATATTCATTTTCTACTGGACACAAGAACCTACTATTTGGTCCTAAAAGCCTTCTGAGGTC